TCCCACCAACCCCATGAGGATTTTCTCTAAAGAAGATTTATTCCCAGCCTCTTTCTGATTCCCTCGCCCTAGTGACCAGCTTCAGTTGCCAGGGAAACCAATGTTCTCCCACCGCACCCCCCCTAATCTTGAATAGACAAAGACCCCTGTTCCCCCTCCCCCCCTTCTGTCTGCCTCCCCCTTCCACCTGCATCAACCAAGCGCCGGGGCTGACACGCACATACTGAGCCTGGGTGCTGTGCATGGGAGGGAGAAACTGCTACAGGAAGATCGGGGGCTGCAGGTTCAGGATCCTCCACTGCTTCCCCTGCCAATGCCAGACCCCCCTTCAGTGCCCCTGCTCCAGGGGGCTCAGGGCAACACATTACTAGCATTTCCCACTGGGTGCTCACAAGTCAGAGCTGTGTAGCACCGAAGGCCCCAAACTCAGGACAGAAGTTAAGCCCTGTGCCCACCCTGAGGTGCCACTGCTGGGAGAGAGCCCTGGTTACAGGCAGGTAGACCCACCCCAGCCTCCCCAGGTGGGGGCCACAAATCCTGCAGAATGGAGGGGGCTTACTGGAAAGCTGGAGGGGGGTTGGGATGCCCTACCAGTCAGCCCCAGGGGTTAGGGGCAGCAGAGACAGGAGACCAGGTTGAAAAGGCTCCATAGGTCCATTGGCAGTTTGGAGGAGTGAATTGGGAAGAGCATCCCTTTTTAGGACAGTGCCAGGGCACATCATGTGGGGTCCTGATGCCACATCATCACACCAGTGCTGAAGGGACACAGTGCTGCAGGGCAATGGGCAGGAGCACAGCAGCGGGCACAGAACCTGAGCCAGAGGCTGGGGCCATGAAACATGGCCAATGGGCCAAGTTTCCTGCTCAGCTGGTGATGCCAGGCCAGCCCTGCAGAACCAGTGGCTGCAGCAAGTAGGTTGGAGTGAGGGGTAGTTTAATTTCTACCTGCAAGCCCACATGCTGATGTGTCATCACAGCCCTGTCATTCTGCCAGCCTAAAACCACTTAACCCATGTGTTAGTAGAGCACTTCTACCAGACAGCAGCACTCCTCGCACTGGCCCTAAGCTAGCAGCACACTCCCTGCAGGAGCCCATGTGGCACCTCTGATCCATCCCCAGGGCGCACAGAAACAACAGCCTGAGCTCTGCACCAGCAACACCACTGCTGGGGCGTGGCATGGGAACTGCAGGGAGTCGGACAGCCCACAGTCACTGCCTGAGGGATGCAGCCCTCCTCTCAAGCATGCCTCCACCCAGAGCCCCAGCCAGTAGTCTCTGGCCCACCAGTGAAAAGCATCTCCCTTGACAGCAGGCTTGCTATGCAGGCTGCTGGACTGGATGGTGGAAGGGACAGGGATGCCAGGCCTAGGGAGACAATTAACCAGACAGAACTACCCGCCACCCCTGCCAGGCTTCAGGTGGAGTTCATCAGGTGGGTTCATCAGGGATGATCTTGCCTTGAGCAGGGGGCTGGGCTAGGTGACCTTGTGAGGACTCTCCCAGCCCTACTTTCCTATGAACCTGCTGGTTGGAGCCAGGGGTTGATGGAGCCTGGAGATCTGCCCAACCTCATGTGCCACTCTGCAGGCACTTTGGCAGGGAGATGCTGCTGTGTTGTATTTTACTTGCAGATCAGCCATGCCCCCAGGCAGCGACACTCCCTGCACTCCTCTGCCCAGCCCTGCCTACCTGCTAATCCTCCCTGCTCTTGTGTCTGGAAATCCCACCCTGCCCTGGGCTGCCCCCTCTGAGCAGCTTGGGTAGGAGTGCTGCCCCCACCCCCCAATCGCTCTTCTGCACCATCTGGCCTGCTCGGTCCACGTGGAAGGCACCCATGCCATCAGCTCAGCCTCCCAGCCAAGTGTCGGTCTAACCTGCTTCTGCAAGTTTCCAAGCATGGAGATTCCACAACTTCTCTAGACAGCCCGTTTCAATGCCTGACCACTCATCTATGGATGCTCAGTGACTGGGAAATGGGCTCTGCCAAGCTTGTGGCACTTGGGAGCCCACCCAAAGCCACAGCCCATAGCAATCTACACAACAGACCTTAGTGGGTCATTACTACTCCCAGGCTGGGTTTAACCTAGCGACCTCGGGGATGGCCAGATTCCTCTCCCTCCGGTTACCATCGCTCCCAGCCAGCCAGCAGAACCCACTATGAAGTACTGAGGAAGGCCCTTCCTCTACGATTAGTTTCACAACATCCACTTCTGGGGAGAAGGAAGGTGGGTCCCAGGCCAAAGACTAGTGCTCAGTGCCACAGGGAGTAGAGGAAATCTGAGCTGAAGTCAGTGGCTGGTTTGCAAAGCTCAGGCCTTGTCCCCACCAGTCAGCTGAGCCAAGGCAAGTTGAAAGAACTAAACCATGGGGACTCGCGTCTCAGGTTCCAGTCCTACCTGGGCAGGGGTCAATGACAGGGGATTGGTCCCACCTGGTGGCACTTGGATGTCCCTGTGCGCAATATATTTGGAGTCTTAGTTCAGAGGCAGTGCCAAGTTTTGTCCCAGTGTTAATAGGCCCAGTGAGTAGCCAGGGACTTGGGTGGGACGCTGAGAGTATACTGCCATTACAGCTCCATAGCAAAACCTCCTGGACAAAGCACATGGGCACAGGGGGGCAAAAAGTGTAATATAATGATATAATGGGGGTTCAGGCTTCAAGGCACTTCCCACTGTAAGACCGACTCAACGTAACTGGGGAAAGCAGCACCAAAGAAGTCTTGTCCTGGGTGGCTCTGGCTCCTACAAGCCCGAAGCCAGGAAATCAGCAAGGTGCAGCCCCTTCCTACTGCAGCAGCACCCTCCCTTTGGGCTGGAATCAGGGTATGTTGGGGGAGCAGTCCACTGCCCCAGCCTTTTGGTGGAAGGATCTGGTTCTGGTCTGGCCTCTAGGAACTGGGGCTGTTTTTGCCAGATTGCCTCTCCCTTGTCACACACTGAGTCTGGTGCAGAAGGAAGAATGCAGGCACCTCCCTGGCCCAGGACATGCTCTGCATGACTTGTGCTCACTCAGCAAAGGCAGCCAGCTCAGGGCTGCCAGTGCAGTGGGTAAGATCCGAGTCATCTCTGCCTTGCTGTGCTGGGGTTGGCAAGTGCTTGCCACAAGGCTGAAGGTGAGGTTCATCCCTAGTATCAATACTTCCCCCTACACACAGCCTAGAAATATCCTTCATCCTCAGAACAGAGATGAAACCCCGTCCCCTTGTGTCTCTATTCCACTCCCCACTCTGCTGCTGACCCAGGAACACATCTGGGCTGCTTCTGCCAACCAGAGCTTGGAAAGGGAGGGCTGACAGGCTAAGCCCAGACTTGCAACAGCGGTGGAGAAAGGGTGGGAAGCTCATGGAAAAGAAAAAGGGAGAAGTAAATGAGTTGACAGGAGGAAAATCAAGCAGCAAAAACAAGACAGTAATAGGGATGTGGGTGTTGTTCATGGACAAACGAGCAGATCTAGGAAGAAAAGACAGACACATCACTATTTAGGAGTGGGATGGATCTAGAAAGGGATGTGCATCAGGATGAATGAATAGAAAGGGAGGGATAAATGAAGAGTGAGAGTGTGTGCATGTATGTGTGTAAGTAAAGGAGGACATACAGGAATGGAAGAGCGGATGGGAGGATGAATGGGTAGAGGAATGGAGAGATGCATATGTGGGATCACAGATGAATAGCAGTGTATTGGGTGGAGGGATGGATAAAGGGATAGGTATGGAAATGAAAACACAGAGAGTGGATGTGTAGGGAGACGGACAGCTAGATAAAGGGCTGGGATGGATAGAGGTGGGTTAGGACAAGAAAAGCCCTTTCCACTGTGAGGAATCTCTGAGGCCCTATCCGTGCCCTTGTGGCTGGGCTGTGCCAAGGCTGAGTCTCCACACTCACCAGTGAAGTCCTCGTGGCACTCACAGGTGTAGCCGCCCTCGCGACTGCGGCAGCGCCCATTGCTTCCGCAGGGGCTGGAGTAGCACAGGTCAATCTCAGTCTCACAGTAGTCACCAGTGAAGCCAGCGGGGCAGCGGCAGCGCAGGCCGTTAACAGGGTGGATAGGCCGGAAGAGGATAGTGTCAGAGGCAATGAAGGGTGCTGAGCTGTCAAACTTCAGCACAGACACGCAGCGCATGTAGTTCTCGCAGGGCTCTCGCAGACAGATGTTGTCATCAAAGGGCAGCACCCGCTGCTCCGAGATGGCTGCCAGCAGCGTGCGGTTCAGGTACAGCCTCTCCTGGAGGTCCTCAGAGGGAAAGAAGCGTCCCCCACGGGCCCCACTGGGCAGCAGCACCGAGAGGCTGACGTTGAGGATGCGGGCAGCTCGTACATCCGTATCATTCTGGATGTTGAAGAGCACCACGTGCTGGCGGGGGGCCGAGAGCACAGCTGCCACCCCCTCCAGGAAGAGCGCCAGGAGGGGAGACAGGAAGCGCTCCTGGGACATATTCTCCAGTCGCAGAGTGATGCTGTTGGTCAACATTTCATCAGTGATGATGGTCACCTGCAGGGTACACTGGGCTGCCACACTGTGGATCCCATCTGCAGAAAAAGGAAGGTACAGGATTAATACCTCGCCCCCAGTATGCCACGCACTGGCTTTCGGTACCCCTGCAGGGCTGAGTTCAAGTCTGTCTGTTGGCCAAAGAGGTTCCTATATTACAAAATCTCCCATGCAACCCATGTAGATGAGAAAGGCCCCACGGCTGGGATAGTGAAGGCCTGTAGGCAGAGCCGACTCTAGTGTGGTGTGGGACCCAGGGCAAGTCAGCCTGTAGAGGGTCTCCTTAACACTGCACGGGGCGGTGATACCCCTGCAAAGGGTAGAGGGGAGTGTCTCCGTGCTTCTTCCGTGGCGCGGAGCTGAGCCACCAGCTCCAGGTGGGCCCCACAGGAGGGGCCACAGCCACTCTGCCTGGTTCCACGGGGCCCCCCCAAAGCACAGGGCCCAGGGCGGTTGCCCCCATTCACCATACCCTAGGGACGGCCCTGACTGTAGGTGGGGATGGAGGGGTATCAGTAGAAGTGTGTGTAGGAGGAGCCTAGGGGTGGTGATCCCAGCCAGCCAGGCTGTCAAGGCGGTGATCCCAGTGCAGCAGAACACTAGGGTGCCTGCTACTCTCAGAGCAGAGGCACATGTGTGGGTTGCTAGGGCAACCACTGGGGAGTCAGCTGACAGGAAGGGGCAGGGCCTGGCACATATAAACCCCAGGAGTGAGGCCAGAAGGGCAGTTCTCTGCTAGCCGCCAAGGGCAAAGGAGCTCTGCTGGAGCAAGCAGAGTAGAGAAGCCTGACAGCACGAGCAGCTCCTGTTTGTGGATACAAGATGGAGAATTCCCTGGTAGGGGTTTGAATGCCAGACAGCTGAGGTTTTATGTTGTAGCCCAGGAGCTTGAGTTTTCTGTTTGTAGTTTTATAACACCAGAGGACTGGGTGAGGCTATTAGGGGTTGGAGGAGGCCTCATAGGGGTTCCATGGTAGCGTGGGGACCCCGGTGCCAGAGAGGGCGCAGCGTTTTTGGGATGCACTGGCCCCAGCCCCAGGGCAAGGGGGAAACAAGAAGCCCCAGGGAGAGAGGGCAGCGAGAAGTCCCAGAGAGACGGGGTGGCAGGAAGCCTCACCGAGAGGAGGCAGCAGAGCACCAGGAAGGCACGGGATGAGACAGGGCGGTGGAAGCCCAGGGAAGTCAGGGAGAGAGCCAAGTTACAGCAAGGTCCAGGTCAAAACCACGTCAGTACCATCCGCGAGGCTTGGGCTGTGGTGTAGGGGAGGAAAGGAGCCACAGATAGCGCCCCCTAGCACCGGAGCAAAAAAGTCAAATGGGCAGCCTCCTGCTAATTAACATCCATCAATTAACCAAGATCAAGGCATGGCAGACGAAGGCAGGCATTTGGCCCATAACAGGAGGGCGGAGTCACTGATAGAAAGACTCTCGTAGAGGTACTCCTGTCACACCCAGCCAGGCCTGGGGCACAGCATGCACACAGACATGGGGCATGTGTCTGATATTAAGTTTCTTCTGAACCAAACCTTTCCAAAGCTGGTGCCTGTCAGGGTAGCATGGTGCAAAGTGACTACGCAGCCTTTCGCAGACAGATGTCAGGTGAAGAAGGGGACAACTCGGGTGCACAGGGGATGGCTATACAGCCTTCCCCTGGCACACATTCAGCCCTGACTGCCAAGGCCTGCGTCACCTCATAAGCTCTTCCCCTTTTATCTTTCTCAGACGCCTTCCCTTTACCTTTTGACCATTCTTCCATCCCATGTACTTCTGATCCCCTCACCTCAAAAAAGGATATAGTAGTGGTAGAAAAGGTATAAAGACGTGCAGCACGGACGATTGGGGTAAGGAGAAGCTTCCATAAGAAAAGGCTAGGACTTCTCCGCTAATGAAAAGATGACTAAGGGGTGATATGATAGAGGCCTGTAAAAATCATGAATAGTGTGGAGAAAGTGAATATGGTTTTGTGATTTTAATGTTCCTCACACTACTAGAGCTCAGGGGACACGCAATGAAATTAGGAAGCAGGTTTAAAACAAACAAAAGGAAGTTCTTCTTCACATAGTGTGTAATGCACTTGCGGAACTCATTGCCACAAGATGCTCTAGAAGCTGATCATTTAAGCAGGTTCAACAGGGGGTTGGACAAACTCCTGCAGGATAGACCATCTGTGGAGAGTCAACATGAGAGCTAGAAGTGCAGCCTCCAAGTTAGGACTCCCCAAGCTTCCCAATGCAGCGGGGAAAGGGACAAGGGAACAGGTCAATCTGGACAGGCCCTACGTAAATACTTTTCCTTGGCAATCGCTCTCTGTCACTGAGATGCAAGCCTACTCATTATATACTGACAGTGGACCTACGTCTATTAGGAGCTACAACCCCTCCCACCCCCCACCACCCAATGGCTAGATGGAGGCCACCGAGATACAAAGGTACCGGGCAAGACGGACCTGTGATCTGATCCAAGACAGTATTTATGTTGACACATAACCCACTCACGTTACTGTAACTTTCCCTTGTACGGGTGTAAAGAAGGAGTGGAGCCCTGTGCTAGTGTCACTTATTAAACTCCAGTACAGAACCCACTGGTCACAGTCAGGGATGAAAACTACACCAGTGTAAGTCACACGGAAGTAGGAGCCATGTGTCCACCTCTATGCCAGGCTCGAGGCAGACATACTGTTACTTGCTCCCTTGCCACCTACTGACAAAAGGAAGTAACAGGGGCTACTGCAGCCACTACTCTGGGCTAGCTGTATGTCTGTCTGCTCAACATGTAACTTACACCAGTGTACAAAATCAGTGTACATTAGAGCCATATTAACATGTGGTGTTTCCATACAAGAAGATGCCTATTTAACCCAGCTGGAAAAAGGACACAGCTTTCCCCACCCATCTGAGGACTAGAATATTATCCTCCTCTGACAGAGGCAGAGAGTGAGGACAGTAAATCACCCAAGATCAACGACGACTTCAGCAGCAGAGCTCAGAACAGAACTCAGGTCTGGGCTGATTGATTGAGGCATTGTACAGAAAGGAAGCACTGTGCCTATGCTGATCCAGACGGGGAAGAATCCCCAAACTGGAATTTAAGCCGGAGGGATATGAAGTGTTTTATTACAGATAACCATAGAGGAAGTACACGTTGCATCCTGGTAATCCCCTACACAGCAGCCACAAGCACACACAAGCAGGAGGCTCTGGCCACAAGCACAGCACAGGGAGGCCACAGGATGAAAGTGAATGCTGCTTCCTTCCAAGAGACGTCCCCAGGGAATCCCTGACTGGGGAGGACAGGTGGTGTGAAGCAGGACAAAGGCAGGAAGGATACTCCTCCCCACCCCTAGCTTTGGCCCAGAGACAAACCAAACCAATCCACCTGGCCACCCCATAGCAGTGAAGGAAACGCATGGTTCTTCCCCAACAGACTGCCCCAGCCCGGGGTGCACAACATCAAAGCGTTGGGCAGGGAAAACACAGAGTCACCAAGCTGCACGTGGGTTACTGATCCATGCAAACAGCTCAGCTGAACTGCCATGATCCCCCGCCCGGTCTGGGAAGCTGAAGTGGGACAGTGCTAAAACTCCTAGGTTTTGTTCCTGACTGTGGCACAGACTTGCTGTGTGACCTCAGGCAAGTCACTTTCTCTCTTCATGCCTCAGTGTTCCCACAGGCAATATGGGACGGTGCCATTAATTTACCCGCTGGGCTAGGATGAAGATAAATGAGTCTGTGCATAAGGTGCTGGGGCGGCACTGTGCACCGAGACAAACACAACAGATTTGGAAAAAAAGGGGCCCTGTCCACATGGCCGGTGTTAGGACAGGAGAGGTTGAAGCAGCCCAGAGACAGGTCATGCAAGCTATTAACCAGGCTGCCCACCCATCCTGCCCCCTTCAAGAGCCCATGGGCTTGTCAGAGGCCTTGGACCTGATGAAGCAGAGGGATGACCCTGATTGTCACCAGTCAAAAGAGTCTTCCCACAGCGGGTGGCACACACACAGTAACAATGCTCCAAGGCCTGATTAGCAGCCTAGTGTCCCCTCCCTGCAGCTGGTGGCTGGTTCACCACCCACAAACCCAGCAGGGTTTAATGCCAGCCAGGACCATGAAGCTTCCTGACCCTGGACCTCTCCCATTATCAGCTAATTGCCTCTTGCCCTCCTGGTGGCTTTGATGAGGTTACATTAACTACTAGATAATCAATATAGGCTGCTGGGAGGTGGATGAGAGAGGTTGCCTGAGCAAGGTCTTGTGTGTCCAAAACCCCAGGGACGCAGAGACTGAGTGGTGTGTCCATTGTGAGCTTGGGATCCAAGATATACATCTGTCAAGCATCAAGGAGAATGGAGATGGGGAAGGCCTGCTATGTCCCACTGAGGTATCAGAAAGGGGACAGACCAGGCTTCTGCTAGGTCCCTACCCCTAAATCTAATCCAGGCTAGTGTCCATGGGTCATAGCACTTCTCTGGGGTGGATGGTGCCCCAGACAAGCAGCCTCCATGCCAAACGGTGCTGGGATGGTTTTAACAGTAGCAACTTTCATTGCCAAAGTCCTCGCAATAGTAATACCTGGCACTGCTTCCATTCAGCACAGAAACATCCCACCAAACCATACAGCACTAACACCATCACTGCTCCGGCTATGGCACTGGGGCAGCAAGCAGGGAAATGCCCTTATCTTCCTCAGCCCCCATTCGGAACAAGGTGGCTTTCTTGCATTAGTACAGGGCTCTCGGGCATGGCTGAGTCCTGTTCCCCTTTTCTGTTTTGAAAGTACCGGGTCCCCCTAGGATTCCACGTTATAGATACAAAACATAAACACATTATGTCCCTACCAGCCCTGCTCACACAGCCTACGAGATATTGTACAATTGTTCTTCATTTTTTCCATGTTCTTCCTTTCCCCCCATTTACCTTTCCCCTACCCCCTCTTCTGCTTTCCCCATCCCTTCTTCTCTCATAGCCTCAAGAAGTCTGCTGCATACCCCATTCTGAGAAACATTAGCTTGGTAGAAATAATTTATTGCCAAAATCCCTAC